TGTTGATCAATACAACATCCAGCTAATGTAGCTAACTTAGTGGCTGCTCATGAGTTTCTTCACCAGATGTTGCCTCTATCGTCTCCCGTCTCGTTTTGATCATGTATGAATACAGAAAGCAGGCAGCGTTCCTCCCTCTGCTCACTGAAACACTCCTTTCTTTCCTGTTCTGTTGCTGTTCTATTGTTTTTTCCCTCCTCACTCTGCAGCCGGTCTGATCCGGCTCTCGTCCACTAACCAAGTCCCCGACATTGATTTACCTTCACCTCTCATTTAAGCACAAACGGAGGAAGAGAGGGCGAACGGGAGGGCAGATGGTGGAAAAAGAAAAGCGCAGAGCCGTCCGGCCGGCGGTGGTTTCGGCCCGGTACGTTCTGGACGTCGCCGATCCGTCACTATTTCCAGCTGTGGACTTCTTCCTCCGCCGCCGTCTTCCTCTAATCGCCCTGGGTGTGTTAATGTGACGTGTTTACTGCCCTAACGAACAGCTCATTACGGCCCACTGATGCTTTGTCAATAGCTATCGGTCCATTCGGGGCCCGCCTTCAAACAAAAGCGTCCGCGGCGAGGAACGGACCGGAGCGCCGATCGCAGGGGAGGGGCCCGTAAATTTTGAAATCTCGATTCCAGCCAATTACGGCGCCGATGGCTAACGGCCATCTTTAATTGTGCGGCGACTAAAAAGAAGAGGGGGAAGAAAAGAGTTTGGGAGGAGCGAGCGCGGCTGTCAGATTAAATCCCCATCAGGTTCATTACTAACCGCCCACCCACCGCCGCCGCCGCCTCCAACTCTGGCCCCGTGACCCCTGGAGCCTGTCCTACATCTGGAGGGTGGAAGTGTGTGAAGAGCACCGGCATAAATATTCATATCAACTCTGCTCCTACTTAATTCAGTGCAGCGCTGCGTAATAAACATTCAAATTCCATGATTTAGATAAACCATTAGGTTCCAGTGATGACTTTAATGGATTCAGTTTGCAGATGAATGTTGAACAAATGTGATGTTGTGGCAGATTTAAAGTCAAATCTCATTTAAAGATAAATTCTAATTGATTAACTGAATGAAATGTCATTTTTCTTCACTTGACACCGGAGCGACTTCATTTGTTTTTAAATTTGCAAACTTAAGGACACTCAAACATTCCTGTTAAATATGTGTCAGAACAACCGAATATTAAAATAAGTAATCAACTTATTCTTCTAGTCAACAATAATTATCTCTTGATCACATGTGCAATATTTCCTTATCATTATATTTAAGTATTTTATTGTCGTTTTATCTTGTTTTTCTATTTTGTAGGCGCTGCTGCATTTCTTATGTTTTGTCATTCGAGATTATGAAAGATGAAAGAGATTATTTAATCTTATCAATCATTAAGTAGGTCTTAATTAAAAATACATTTCATCGTCGTGTTTCTTTACCTCAATGTAGTTTATTGGTTGAACATTATTTCTTTAGAAAGTTGTCGTAACTTAAAACTCTTAGTTTGTTTTAGTTGAGCCTAAATGATTATTTCTAGTGCAGGAAAATCAGTAAAATCATTTTAGGTCTGCGTTTATAACACAAACTATGTCGGTAAACTTGTTGTTTTTATTTTTCCACAAACTTCTAGTAAATCGGCTTTTGCTGCTGCTGCACTTTTACAAATATTTTCAGCGAATACTTTTATGATATTTGGAGATAATTTAAAACTATCATAAAATAAGCTTCATATTGTGGATGAAACTCACATTTACACATCAGCTGGTTTACAAACTAAATTCAAATGGAGCTGATTTAATGAAATTGACTTAATAACTTAATATTTTTAACTTTGCGGTTGGGATTTAAAGTCCTCAACACTGACGCAGCTTCATTTTTTCTGCTTTTCCACCTTAAAAACTAACTACACGATACTCAAAAATTCCCTTTAAATAAAAAAAAAAAAATCCATTTTATGTCGCGTTTATGACACCGATCATTGAATAATTGATGATTAAGACTCAATGAGCTCAGTGCAGTTTGTTGGTTGAACATAATTTGATTAGAAGTTTTCTCTGAACTCTTAAAAAAAAAATTCATCCAAAGCTTTTTTTAATTGAAGAAAAACATTGTTTTTTAAAATGCAGCATCATTTTTGGCCTGTTTTATACAGAACAGACCTTTTAGTTCAATTTTCTTGTATATTTTTTCACTTTTTTTCACTTTTAATGCATCGACTGTTTTTACTAAATGGATCCATTTAAAGCAGAAAACACAAAATAAAAGTTGAGACGGTCACACAAACATGTATGTAAATGAGGAACTGCTCAGACGTGAGAAAAGCCGTAAATGAACGTTAGAGCTGCGTTTAATTGATCTCTGCGAGGTCCTGATTTGTAATAATCACTGAGCGAAGGTCAGAGGTCGCGTGATATTTATGATCCGCCGTTTGTTGGTTATCGACGTCCGCAGCAGCAACACCATTGATCTCAGCTCGCGCCGCTGTTTGCCTTCCTGGTGTCGGAGGTCAGAGTTCAGCACTTTGTTTGTTCCCAAAACGTTAACAAGTCGCCTCATCTGCATGTTTCTTCTCGCAGCGACGCTAACACGGTTACAGTGCTGGTACCCGGCGATGCTAACGCGGTTAGCCTCCAGCAGCATCGTTCACATCCCCATCTATCGGCGGCTGAGCGCATGTGTGCCTGGACATAAACCAATAGAACCAATTTTGCCATTTAAGGCGGGCTGATGATGAAATGCCAGGAGATCCAGGTGATGAGATTATCCGTGTGCATCTGGAGGACCTTCAGAGCCACCGCAGGATTTTAACCAAAGCAAATGATCTGCTTCTGATCGTATGTTTTCCTCATATTACGTCCGTTTCCAGTGAAAACACAACGTATTGATTCCTGGTGGAAGAATACAGACTCTGACACCGAACAAATGAACAACTGCTTCATTTGCTTAAAAAATGAAATCCAGCTGCGTTTCTTTGTCCGTTTTGAATCTGCTAGAAGGCGGTGGAGCGATGGAGCGGTGGAGCGGTGGAGCGGTGGGGTCTACGTGTTGGCTGGTGGAGGGTGTTGTTGAGGGACGGGGGGGGATAATTCCTGGAGTCTTAATGGTCAGTCCGTCCCCACGGAGCCTGGCTCAAATGTCAGGTCAGCTATGAAGCGACCTCCATCCCGTCTTCATCCTCCCAGCGCGCACCGCCAAAGTTGGATCGTTTTTTTTTTTTTTTTTTTGGCTCAAATCGTTGTGATTTATTGTCTTTGTCTTTAATCAGGAGACATGATTTCTTTATGGAGAACATTTTAGTTTGTAATCACTCCCTTGGCGCAGCTTCGACTCTGAAGAAGAGGATTTATTTAAAAGTACAGGAAGAAACGTGCAGATATAAAGTCTGGCAGGATAAAAGCAGCACGTTTTAACTTCCTCACAGTGTATTTTACACTTTCTTGTACATTTTTAGTACATTTCACTTGTTTCTGCTTATTTATTTCTATCTTTTCTTACTTTGACTCTTCCTGCTTCGTACTGTAGCAGCAGAATTTGCCCTCAGGGATCGATAAAGTATTTATATTCTACTCTATATTTGTACGACTGTAAAGAGCACACACACACATATTCATAATAAAGACGACACACACTAGAAATTAACTCAACGGACCAACTACCACCACTGGACTAGATGAAAATGATTTAGATAAATGTTTTTAGGTGGTAAACATTATTTTCAATGTGTTTTCTTAATATTGTTGCTTTAACTTAATATTTTAATGCATATTTTCTGCATTAATTGCTCTAAAACTAATTTCAAATTGAGCTAATCTCATAAAATTGGTTTGATAATTAAATTTTTCTCCACCTTGAGGTCAGAGTTTTAAATCCTCTACACTTGAAACTGAAGAAACTTGTTTTTTTTTTTTAAAATTACATTCCCTTTAATAACACAAAAATACTCATTGGACGAGTAATCAGCTGTAAAAACTGTGTTTGTGCTGCCAGTCGTTATTTATTGGTTAAACATAATTTCATTAGAAGTTGGTGTAAGGATTTAAAACAAAAAAATTTAAAGCTCAGACAGTACGAAGAGAATAGAATCTGAAAAATATGACTTCTTTTTATGAAAGTACAGTAAGAAATGTGCAAAAATAAAGTAGAAAAATCACACATACAAATGCATTATTGTTACTAAACAGCGATAGAGGTTTTTTGCTGTATTAAGAAAGATATAAACAATAGTTCAACTTCTTCATGCTGCTGAAGATGTGCAGAAATGACTTAGAGTAGTGAAAATACAGATACTATGGTTTTAAAGTGTCAATAATGCGTTACAGAGCAGCGAGAACATCAAAATACAGAAGGAATATGAATGATTTAATGTGGTTTGGCTTTTCTAAGTGACACTACGGATGTAAAGTAGATGTCTGGCTTCATCCTGCACACGTAGGTTCATGTCTTTAGAAGGTGTTTGGAAATTTAAAAGGCAGATTTTGTATTTTATTGCAGCAAAATCATGCAAACGTGAAATAAAAATGGTTCAATCTGCAGAGAATACAACTAAAAATTCAAAAATGAAAGTTGAGACAATCAGGATCTGTTGAGAAGGGAGAAAGTGCAATGACCTGAAGTTGTTAAAATACAGCTGATGTGGTTTCAGGGTGTTAAAAATGTGTTCAAGAGGAGCGAGAATATCAAAATATGGAAGGAACATGTATTAATTAATGGGGTTTGTCTTTTCTAGATGGTGTAAATGAGCTATTGGACGACCTGATGCAAACTTAAATGGGTGTTTACAAAGTTTTTTTCAAGTTTAACACATTTTTTTATCCTATTTCAGCAAAATCATTCCAATATGAAGTAATAAAGCTCTAAATCTCCAGTTTAAACTCACTCATCACATCTTAATTCCTTTTTTTCATCACATTTTTAACTCCTGCAGGTTCAACAATAAAACCAACGTCGTCGTGTAAAATGATGCTCGATGTGTTTGCCTCCAGGTGAACCTCTACCTGACTCTACTTCCTGTTTGCAGGTAAAGCGCTGACCTTCCTGCTGCTGCAGCCCCCCAGCCCCAAGCTGCCCCCCCACAGCACCATCCGCCGCACCGCCATCGACCTGATTGGCCGAGGCTTCACCGTGTGGGAGCCCTACATGGACGTGTCGGCGGTGCTCATGGGACTGCTGGAGCTCTGTGCCGACGCCGAGAAGCAGCTGGCAAAGTGAGAAAAACAACAACATCCACAGAGTTAAAGGTTTTATTCGTTACAAACCGATTTAACAAACTGAATCCTGATCAGGTTCCACTGACGCAGTGTGAAAACAAATGCTTTAAAAATAAGAAAAAGGCTCAAAACAGGCTTTGACTAGACTTCAGGATGTCTTGGACTTGTCTCAGGTGACTAGGACAGGACTGTTCTTGACTCATGGCTGGACTTTCCTTGAAGGACTTGACACTTGTGCTGAGACTTGCTTTGACAGACTTGACTGGGACTCCATCAAAGACCAGAGGCTGAAGGACTTGTGACTTGGGTATTTGTCTGAGGTGTTCAGACTTGACTTGAGTGAAGCATCTTAGCTCTTTAGATTTCATTTTCAACTTGTTTTGATGAAATTTCAGACTAGACTTGAACTTGCCATCGAGGACTTGTGACATAAGGAGACTTGACCTGAGACTGGCTTTGACAAGACTAAAGACTTACCTCGTTAATGACGTGGACTTGTTCTTGACCTCGTTAAAGGCTTAGGGCTTAAGGACTCGACACTTCCACTTGGATTTGCTTTGACATGTCGTCAGACTTGACCTGGACTTGTTTTATCAAGATTTCAGTGGAGTTGGACTTCAGACTCACGTTGACAATTGCTTTGACGAGACGTGAGACCTGAGACCTGAGACCTGAGGCTCATTGACTTGGACTTGTGATTTGACTTTCACTTGACACTTGGTCCGAAGATGAGTTTTTTTTTTTATCAATTTCCACGCTTCACTTGTCTTGACTGTCCCGAGATTTGACTTGAGCTTACGATCAGGTTTGGTGCTTTGAGTGGACCAAGTCAACCCCCAGGTCTCTTCTTAACTGACTTGGTTTTAGTAATTTTCTGTCGCTGTATTATTTACACGAGACTTGTTTTAAAATATGTGAGACTCGACATTTGACTTGGACTTTGCCACAACTGTGACTCAGACTTTGTCTTTATTTTATGAAAGACTTGAGGCTCAAGGATTTAGGACTTGAGACTGACTTTGATGCTTTGAAATGGACCAAGTCATCTCCCACATCTAGTCTTAACAGACTTGTGTTTGATCGTTTTTAGTCACTGTCAGTTTTTGGTGCATTATCCAGTCGATAGTTTAACTCGTAAAGACTTGAAACTTGATTTCATCTCAACTCGACGTCGATTGACGTTTAAGGACCTTCAGGATTTTCATTGACGAGACTCAACACTTGACTTGGTCGTCGTGTCCACTCTAAGATGAAAACAAAACATTGAACCACTTTGACCTGATTAAACCTCAAAACAAACAAATTTTAATAAAGATCGTTAAAATCTCCTGTTTATCAGTCAGCAGAGATCTGAGAGACGTGATACAGAAAAACCAAAACAACCACCAGTCCTGTGTTTTGTTTGGTTTATTTATTGTCGTCTCAGATTCCTTCATGCAGACAGAAGCCTCCCTATAGATACAGACACACACGTATATAAATCTATACATATAAATCTATATATATGTACGTTTACAGAAACACTCAGACGTTGTAGAGACTCGGTGAGTTATGGAGGCCCGCAGTAATCAGATTACAGACATTATGATGATGTAACGACGTCTGTGTTGCCGCGACATGAGAGTCCTTCGTCTGCGTGTTCATGTTGTGTTTGTCTGACGTGTGTTGTTCCTTTACTTGTTTCAAGCTTTTTGTTTAGATTTTAATGAACTTTACTCAGCGGAGATAAAAACAGAAAATCCAGGAAGTGTCGACTCCAAACACAGACTGTGATCTAACAGCAGGAAGAAAAGGAAACAAGAAGACTGTAGAACCAAGACACAAAACAACACAAATGAGACACAAATCAAGATACAAAACAACAAAAACCAAACAAAAACAGCAAAAATAAGACACAAATGAGCCACAAAAAATAACACAAATGAAACAAATGACACATAAAACGCCAAAAACAAAACACAAACAATAGAAATGAGATACAAAACAACACAACAAAATGACAACAACCAGGCACAGAACAATACAAATGAGACACAAACAAGATATAAAACCACAGAAACGACACAAAATGACAAAATGAGACACAAATCGAGACACAAAATGACACAAACAAGACAGAAAATCATGCAAACAAGAAGCAAAACGACACAAATGAGACACAAACAAGATATAAAACCACAGAAACGACACAAAATGACAAAATGAGACACAAATCGAGACACAAAATGACACAAACAAGACAAAGAAGACTTAAAATGACAAAAACAGGACACAAAACAACACAAAAAGACATATAACAATACAAATAAAACACAAAACATCACAAAAAACACAAATTGAAACAAAAAACAACACGAGCGAGATATAAAACGACAAAAACAAGACAGGAAATGACACAAACAAGATATTAAACAATCCAAATGAGACACAAATCAAACACAAAATGACACAAAATGGCGGAAATTAGACACAAAACAACAGAAAACTGAAACAAAACAATACAAAAGAGACTCAAAGCGACAAATGAGACACAAATTGAGGAACAAAGCAACAAGAATGACAGCAAATGACAGAAACTAGACACAAAACGGCAAAGTAAAACGCAAATTATATACAAATTGAGACTCAAAAAATGACACAGATTGACAAAAACAACACAAATGACATAAATGAGACATGAAATGACAAAAATCTGGCACAAAACAACACAAACCAGAAGTGAAATGACAGAAATGAGACACAAATTGAGAAACAAAGCAACAAGAATGACACAAAAAACAAAACCTAGACACAAATCTATAAACAAAACAACACAAATGAGACACAAACCCACACAATCTGTGCCGTGTTTTCTATCATTCTCGGGTATTTGACGTATAAACGTGAACCCAGCAGAGCTGGAATCGATCTCGGCTCATTTAACGGTGCGACTCGGTGATTTGACCCATTTAAAGATGGCGTCCGACCACAAACGTCCACACCAGCGCGGTCGGAGGTCAGAGGTCACGGCCGCCCTCGTCCAATCACAGCGATCCTGCGGCGGAGGCAGGTTCTCGCGGGTCGCGCTCAGAGGATAACTGAGCGGCGCGATGCCGGAGTGTGTTTGTGTTGTTGTGTGTCCTCCTTCCTGCTGAAGCCTAACTGGCCAATATGAGCTGATCGTATTAGGGCTGAAACTGGAGCTGAGCCGGTCTGCTTAAATGAGTATAGATATGTCTGCCGCCGCTGTGTGTGCAGGCAGAAACGACACAATCACATTGTGCTGGAATACATTTCTGTAGCTTCAACACAGTCACGAGTTTAAAGATTCTCACACGATAACGTAAACAACAAACAAAAAACAAAACAAGTTACACCATCAGCAGTTTGTGTTTCTGATAAATACATAAACTGGAATCTGTGGATTTTCTTTGGTCCAATTACCATAAATGACAGACAGCAGTCGTCTTCTGTCCTGTACCGTCATACAGTTCTGTAAAAAGACAGAAAAACCCAACAAATTCCTGCTATAGTGGGTTGTTTTCACCAAAATGTGGTTAAAAACTGTAAAATTTAATGTTGTTTTGCAGTCACAAACAAGAATGACAGTTAGTAAAAACACAAAAACAGACCAAAAATAACACAAACAGACAAACACAAGACCTAAAACGACAAAAACAAGACTGAAGACAGTACCAACAAAACACAAAACAGCACAAATGACACACAACAAAGACGTAAAACAGCAAAAACAAGACACAAAACGGCACAAACGAGACACAACAACCCCATAAAACAACAAAAACAAAATTCAGCAATACAAATGAGACACAAAGCAACACAAAATGACACAAATGAGTCACAGAACAACACAAATGAGACACAAAATACCCATAAAACAACAAAAAGAAAATTCAACAATACAAATGAGAAACGAAGCGACACAAATGAGGTGCAAAATGACAACAACTAGATGGAAAACAACACAAACAAGACCTAAAACAGCAAAAACAAGACTGAACAATTCAACACAAGACACAAAAATGATATAAATGAGACACAAAGCAACACAAAATGACACAAATGAGACTTAAAACAACACAAAACAACAAAAATAAGACACAAAATAACACAAAATGAGACACAAAACAATACTAGTGAGACTCAGACTGAGACACAAACCGACCACAGTGAGAACATTCGTGCACCAACAGCAGCATCAGGAGATGTTTGATCTCATTCCTGAAAACTTTGACTCATCAGTGTTGAATTATTGCTAAAACCACACACACACACACACACACAC